TTAGCTGTTCAGTTGTTACTACTTACAGTTGCTACTACTAAAAAAATGTTTAATATATTGGATATGATTATCATGGTAGTGTAACGGTTTAGCATCGCTTTGCTTCCGATGGTAGCGGGTTCGATTCTTCGCATGTTGCAAACATTTGTATTCATGGGATTGTTTGTATCAGTCAGAATGTTTTCTATGTATATCTAAATATATATAAATCAAAGGTGACTGACATAGTGATCTATCAACGCACAGCCTAAACTACTGGACGGATCGGGCTGAAATTTGGCATACAGGTAGATGTTATGACGTAGGCATCCCATATGAAAGGATTTTGTTTAATTCTACCCCCAAGGCGATAAAATAGGAGGTGAAAATTTGTATGAAACTTTGTCAATTTTAAACCGATCGGGCTGAGACTTTTCATACATAAAGCTACTATGATATAGGCATCGCCAAGGAATGAGAATTTTGATAAATTCCACCCCTAAGGGGATAAATTAACGCGAGCGAAGCCGCGGGCAAAAGCTAGTTAGGTATATATTTACATAAAAACATTTTAAAGTATTTCTATGTTGTCTACTACCCTTAATATAAGCTGTGCTTGGAATTGGATAGCGCTGTATGAAGTGTGCAGGCTTAGTATTATACTATACGGTTATTATTGTTTTATTATTACAGATGTTCACACTACATTTTTAGACGATTGGTTTTGTGGTTTATCATCGTAAGATTTAAAACAGAAATTGCTATAAAACGTTTTAGGTAATTATCTACGTCAGTTATTTATTTTTATTTCAAGTATACTCGTCAGTTCAGTTGTCAGTTTCAATTTAGAACTGGTAAGAAACTCATGTCTATACTGTAATATGTTAAAATAATATATTTTATTAATATGGGTCTAATAATAAATTAGAAATATAATAAAATCTTTCTACATAAAGTTGGTACTTCAGTATCCATAACATTGAAATATTAATAGTAGATATACTCATATATAAATATTTTAAATTCTTAATTCAGATTTTCTGATAATTAGCGTTTCTAAGAGCTATTTCTATAAACTTTGTATCTAGTACACTTTCTAGTTAACAACTTAATGATGTTTTTCTAGGAGCTTCAATTTGCGAAGACCAGCTTATAGTAATGCCTTAGAACAAGTCTGTGAAGCTTTTGTGTAAAAGCTACGTTTGTGATACTCATTAGGCTTTTAGTCTACGAGCGCCCTTTTGTTTCAATTTCAATTTCATTTTATTATTTAATCTCTTTCAAGAGTATAATTATAAAGCTATCTCCGAGAAAAATAATGTACTAAAGAAGTAATTATAGTTAGATGAGGGTTAAAAGTAGACAAGAAGACGTTTTGTTACGATACAACAAAAAGTGACGATTAATTTTAACAATTTTTCTTATGATGTATTAAAACTAGAACCACTGTAGGGAATTTAGAAATTCTTTCACAGTTCAAAAGGTACATTATACCAGATTAAAGAGTCATTGGTTTGGATACTTCAGTCTCCCCTATTTCAGGCTCCAAGCAGCTAGATTCATGAGCTATGTTTCGGTTATAGAATGAGAAAAGATAGTGAAATTACATATAATAGGATGAGAAGCATAACATCTCAGTCATCCGGAATGACATCACAGTATAAAGTGATTTGCGTAGTTTTATCCATGTATGTATATATTTAATTTTATTTATTTATTTGACTCTGAAAACTTAATATAATAATAATACTAGCCAATGTTATATTTACCTTATGGACTAACATATATATAAAAAAAATATTGCCATTGTGGTTGCTAAACTTACTATGGCAAATTTACAATTAAATAAAAAATAAAGGCAATAGTTGCTGTATATATCAAATGATCGGTTAACTTGTTTGCTATTTAAACCATATAAAAAAACACAAAGTAAAAATCACTTGTAGTTAATGCAATTCTAAAGCCAGATATAAATTATTTATTTGGGTTCTTTATCTATATTTAAGTTAGTTTCGAATGAGAATCAAGGTTTTCGAATGAGAATACTCATTTTAAATGTTAAAATGTCCCACGTACGCTTTATGTGGGATAAATAATGGCTACCATTTAGATTGAGAAACAAAAGCGACCCCGTTTATAGGGTTCGTCAGCCATAAAATTATATACCAAAATCTACATCTTCAGAATATCTAAATGGATCCTCGGTCATTATAAGAGGGTCTGTAATAATAATTACTAGTGGTCGCCAGTGGTCGAAATTCGGCCATAATTAATTTAACTTCAAGTAAGGCTATTGACAATATTAATGAAATATATATTAGTTTGTACACATTTTGACCATAGACTTTAACAATAAAGAAAAGAGTATATATGTGTGTGTCAAATACATGTTAGTGTGTGTAATTTTTTTTTTATTCATGTATTTTTTTTATTTATATGCATAATTAAAAAAATATTAGTATTCCGTACTCCATGTCTATATAAAGTATGAGAGTCTAAAATTTCATACTCCTTTGTCCGTGCCATTTCGGAAAAAGTCTACAAAGATTAATACGTGAAGCACGTATTAATTTACAATTCTGGATAATTTACACAGCGCCAATTATTGCAAACTAAGTCAAGCTTGTGTCATAAGTAATATACAACTGATTTTAATACTTAAATATTTTGTTTATGAGTACGATTATTTGTAGAAGTCTAGGTATTTTTTATGTATATTATGTATGTGTTTACAAAAAAATGTATCTATGTATTTATATCAATTGCCTAATATCCATAACACAAGCTTCGATTAGCTCGACTGGATGACTTTGTGTGAATTATCCTGAGATATTATTATTATTATTATCAAGCATTTTTTTATTACATTATATAATAATTATCTTTTTGTCTGTGTGTTTGTTACAATTGAACGGATCTTAACAAAACATGACATATTACGAGGATAAATATAGGTTATGTACCGTACGCCCGGGTCACAAGTTCCGGGAACTGCTCGAAGTTTCCCTGTCTGCCACACGATGGACCCGGCTCATGGTGAATTCATGGAATGCTAAGAAGGTCGTCTCTTCCTATATCAAATAAAAGTTGACGAAGTCGCAGTTAATAGCTAGTTTATATTAATTATATATATTTTTGTATTTTCATTCATAATTTAAGAGCTGTGCTCTTGTCGGTGGAGCTCCCGCCATCTTCCACGATCTTCTATCAGTCCCTTTAGCTGTTGATACGACACGACTCCAACTTTTTCTTTAACTTGCTTGATATAGCTGTGTCTTTGTCTTCCCCTTCCTCTCTTTCCATCTATTTTTCCTTCTATAATGTTGTTAATTAGTTCGTCGTGTCGTATCAAGTGCCCCAACATTTTTCCCCGCCTATTCTCAATAATATCTATGATCTGTCTCTTTTCTTTAATCCTCTCAAGCACTTCTTCATTCCTTATTTTATCTTTCCAGCTAATTCTTTCCATTCTTCTCCAACACCACATTTCAAAGGCTTCCAGTTTGTCTCTTTCCTTTTATGTCAATGTCCACGTCTCACAGGCATACAAGGCTATACTCCAGATGTAGGTCTTGATAAGTTGTTTCCGAGAGGACTTTGATATATTAGCTCTCAAAAGATGTTTTTTATCATTAAATGCTCTTTTCGCTATAGCTATTCTGATATTAATGTCCTTAGTACATCTGGAGTCACTGGTAATCAAACTACCTAAATATTTAAATGTATCTACATTTTCAAATTCAAATTTAAATATTTTTTGTATGTCATTGTCAAATTTATCTTGGTCAGATATCGACAATTTTAATTTTTATCAAAATTTAGTAGCTTAAAACGTTACATTTATCAATTGTTCGGTCTTAGTTCAAAACATTGGCACCATTAAAATCTCCTTTTGCTATAAAGCTACATATAAACGTTTCCTAAATTCTCTTAGTGTTAAGTCACTCGTGCATACCTTCTTAGCAACTTTGTCATCCGTATTAATGAGATTAAAGCTTTAACTCAATGACTCTTTTCATAACAGCCATTCTGCGTGAAGAATCAATAAAATGAATTAATCTGACAATGCCTAATTTCGATCTGATAAAACGAAAAATAAAAAAATAACTTTCGGAATTTGGTTTCAAAATTAATAAGTTGGTAGTTAATAATAAACTCGTTTTAACAAAGCCACAATGCTACTTCTGCCATCGAAATTTTACTAATATTATAAACGCAAAAGTTTCTGAGTATGGATGGATGTTTGTTACTCTTTCACGCAAAAACTACTGAAAGGATTTTAATTAAACTTTACTGTAATATAGTGTAAGACATAGGCTATAATTTAAAAAGATGTTAGGCAAATTGGGTAAGTGTGATGCAGACAAAGATGCGCGGGTCAGTTAGTACATAATTATAACACGATTCACACAGCGCCATCTATTTTTAGCCTAAACAGGGCTTGTGTTATAGATACTTATATAAATATGTAGATAGATTTGTTTTTATAAATAGGTACATAATGTATATTGAATACGCCAAGCCCAATACAAACAAACATAACTCATGAATTTGACTGCCTCGGTGATCTAGCGGTTTAGCACACAGCCTTACTTCCGATGGTCGTGGGTTCGATTCCTAGCACGATACAAACATTTGTATTCATGAGTATGTTTGTTTGTATCGGTCAGGGTGTTTTCTATGTATAATATGTAGGTATGTACAAAAAAATATCTATATATTTGTATGTTATCTAGTACCCATAACACAAACTTTAGCTAGCGTAACTTGAGTCTAGATAGCGCTATGTGAATTGTCCTGAGATTATTATTATTGTTATGAATACAAATGTGCAAACATGTGAGGACTCGATTATTGGAAGTAAAGTACAGCCGCTCCATAAGTCCTTCCGCGGATTTGGAGTGCCATCTACACTCGCCCCCTATCGTTCGGTGAAGCTGTAAAGGCCAGCTGCGGCCAACAGCATTAGAGTAGTCCGAAAAAAAAGGACAACGAAATAAAAGACATTTGTTTCTTTCCAGGTGTTACCAGTCTTCGTGACGTAAGATTAGTGGTGCAGCCTACCACCGTGATCAGAGGCGGCACAGCTGCATTGATCTGCTACCGGGACATGCAAGGAGCACCATTGTATACCGTAAAGTGGTACAGAGGGAACCACGAGTTCTATAGGTTCACACCTTTGGAGGAACCAAACAATAGGGTATTTGGTTTGCCAGGCATTTACGTTGATGTAAGTATATTTCTATATATTTTTATTTTATAGTTTTATATATTAACGCGACCCAATGACGCATTTTATTGGGTAAAAACGTCATTTGCCTCACATCGTTTGTTTTGGAGAGTGGTACTATTTTGGAATATTTTTCTATATATTTCCATACTAGAATATCTAGAAATACGAGTCCAGAAACTCTGCTTTCGTCTTATATATTTATTGAATTGAATTGTTTATTTGAATACATATTATTTCTATTCCCAAGTTAGTCATTTATTTCGTAACTTAGTATGGTAATAACCATAAATTACTACTGCCAGTGAAAAATCACCCTTATTGTGTTTCTTAATGAATTTCCTCGTTTCTATCTAGTTCAGTATATTTATTTCTCGCCATTTAGAAATGAATTGAATAAAATGTACGTTTAAATGGTTGATAATGATTATATTTGAAAGCTATTGTTTAGATACAGTCTGTTGCTGCCTAGTTTAAAGTTTATCGATTGTAGAATGACTTATATATTTATATGGGTGATTCCGATTTGACAAATTAATGTAATAATAAATAATAATAATAACCCGGGACAATTCATACAACATCATCAAGTCTCACGGTAAGCAGAGCTTGTGTTGTGGGTAGTAGACAGCTGATATAAATACTCAGTTTATTTTTGTATATACATACATAATATACATAGAAAACACCCAGACTGACATAAACTATCGTAGTCGGGTGTACAAATTTTTCTAGGAATCAAACCGACGATTGTAAACCGAACCGTCGGTTTGATTCCTAGAAAAAATTGTACATCATATTCATGAATGCAAATGTTTGTCTTTGTTAGATATTGAACCCGCTACCATCGAAAGTGCAGCGGTGTGCAAAATATCTAGTCCACCGAGGCCGTCAAAAATTAAAAAAAAAGACAGGAGCGTATATCAGATAAGATGATGAGAGTAGACCTTTTGTAATTAGAAAATGGTCGCCATTTTAATGAGTTTACAATGAACGCGTTAATCATATCGCATATTATAAACAAAAAATACATTTTTAGAAAATTAAAAAGAACATACAAAAACCAATTTAAAAGGACAGCAATTATAGTCTAAATTCACTTCAAACATAAAATTTTAAATAAAATCATATTTTAAATTTACTGTTTTATTTAAACGGCCTTGGTGGTTTAGCGGTTTAGCACACCGCCTTACATCCGATGGTCGCGGGTTCGATTCGTCGCACGGCACAAACATTTATATTCATGAGTATGAATGTTTGTGTCGGTCTGGTTGTTTTCTATGTATATTATGTACATATGTAAGGTAGAGAAATTCCAGAACCTTATCTCAAGCACTTGCCAAGAAGGTGACTTTTACAAAGTGTGACTCGGTAAAATACAACATTAGGGAATACATTCTGTTATCAAATTTTCCTATTTGCATCGTCCAGAGATCCTATTTAGATATCATATTTTGTGTGAGATAGAAACGACTTTTTATTTATGCTCTACGAAAGAATTATTGCATTTTTTGTTAAGAACAAACTGAATAAATTTAATATCGTGTTTAGAAATGATTTTATTTTCGCATCTAGTGAACATTAGAAAAAAAAATCACTGTTATACCAGACGAGTAGTCAGAGGTATTGACGCAGTGATGAAATCATGGACGAGTACAACAAGTATAAAAAGTAACAAAAATCCATACTTACAAACTTTCGCGTTTATAATATAAGATATTATTAAGAATAATTTTTATTTTTTGTTGTCGGCCGCAATGGTACTTACTACCTCTGGTGCGTAATTCAGTGTCATTCACATCTAAGGCCGGACGCTCTAATTTTTAAAATAACACAAATATAAAGGCATAATGTATAAAAGTTAAAATGGATTCACCTCTGAGATTATGTTGTACATATATGCAGCCTCAAATATATAACAACTTAGGTCGCTACAGGTAATTCCCTGATGAGTTGAACTCAAATAAACTTGACCACGTGAACAAGTCGTGTGTTATTTCCCACAGTAACAAAAGTTGCAAAACAATTCTTTGATTTAAATAAACATTTTGGTAGAACTTTGAAGCAAAACTGGTAGCCTATACAAACATACTTTTATATATCGCACACCTATTACGCCCCCTACGACCGATCCCCCGACCAATAGAAATAGAAATAATCTTTATTCAAATAAACTCATTACAAGCACTTTTGAATAGTCATATTTTGATTCTACCACTCATTCGGAATGCAGATTCATCACAAGAAGAAGAGCAAGAAACTTGTGTGTTGCTCTTTTTAATAGATGTTTTTTTTTTATATAAATAATTACAGTATAACAAGTAAGAGGCATGCGATAATCAACTTAGAATGTCGCTACGCATTCATATTTAATGTAATCAGATAATATTGTCAGTGCTATAGATTTAAAGTTTTTCTATAAAAACATTATTATCGTTAACGAACTCTTCAATTTTATAGTAAGCTTTTTTGCAAAGGAACTGTTTTATTTGACATTTAACTCTGGTATTTTATTGTAAAACCTTACGCAATTGCCATAAAACGAATTACTAACTTTAGCCAAACGACATTTAGGTAAAATCAGTTTGTTATTGTTACCTAAGCTTTTATTAGTGCAATCACTAACTCTTTTGAAACTGTCTATATTCCTTCTGGCATAGATGATATTCAATCAAAATATTCAATCAACAATCCAAACGGGTATCGAAATTACGAAGGCCTGAACCAATTTTCGAACCTCTAACGATACCTTAAGACTAAAGTCGTATCAGGCAGGAGTTGGCCTACAGCCGCTCCATAAGACCTTCCGCGACTTTGGTGTGCCATCTGCCCTCTCCCCTATCGTTTGGTGAAGCTGTGAAGGCTAGCTACAGTAAACGGCATTAGAATAGTTCGATAAGTATAAAAAGTACAATAGTTTCTTTATTTTTTTATAATACTGGAATAACGAAAAAATATAATCTTTGGAAAATTTGCTCTAAGGTTTTAATATTGATATCTGATTTTTTTACTTAATCCAGTAAACTAGCTGTGCTGCCTAATATGTATCGTCTTGGTTTTTGTTTCTTTTCAAGTATGTAACTGGAAAAGCTGAGGGCTCTCTTGATAAGAACTCACGTTACTCATTTTCTTTAAAGTTTTTTTAATATATAATATCTCTATGTTCATAATAATATTATAAATACGACAGTGTGTTTCTATCTGTCTGTTTGTAGATTTTTCACGACTAAACTGCTAAACGGATTGGATTATATGAAATTTGGTATGTAACTGATGGTAGATAGTATTACGAGGGCAGACGTAGGCTATATTATATACCTTTATGTCAAAATATAATGTGGAAATGATGAGATAGGGGTTGAAGTTTATTATTAGATTTATAATTCACGTGGAAAATATTCATATTGTATCATGTTTTGTCTTCTTGACGAAGATACAGGGAAAATGTTATTGTAAAATTCAATGTAAAATATATAATAACCGACATAAATAATGGAAAGTAACTTACAAGTATATATTTAAATACGATCTAAAAAGCTATAATGTCTTCCGGGAGGCTACTTCGGCGCAGTGTGGTCCTTTCAAATTGCCTTTTATATAGCCTTTTTAAATTTTACTACTGTAATTAAGATTTTATATTGCTGTAAAAACAATGATATTAAATTACAATGTCCCTCAATTTAATGTATATAAATACTATAGATCCCACCCGGCTTTGCACGGTTGTACCTACGGTGTATTTTTTCGTACTCTTCTAATGCTGTCTGTAAAAACACGGTTTTACAGTTCACATGACTAAAATCGGAGCGAGTGTAAAGGTCACTCCAAACCTGTGGAAGAACTTATGTATCGGCTTATGGCATTGTCACATATGTTTTGTAAATACATACAAAATACCTATTCATAGCAAACAGTTGCCAGATATGGTTTGTAAAAAATCATCTACGTGAATACTTCAGTCTCCCCTATTTTAGTCGCGAAGCAGCTTGTTTTGTAAGCTGTTTGGTGACTAAACTTATTTTTAGATAGATAAAAATTTTATATACATTAAAGGCATACACAAGGCACAGTAATATTAACAACAAGAATAAAAAATTAGATACCCAATTACATTGGTCAGTCAACAAAATACAATACCATACAGATAAAATACAATATAGGTACAAAAATACTGTGTGAGTAACGTAGTGAGTGTGCATAGCCCATACGCAAAAAAGCGATACCTCTTTTTTCAGTTCATTCATTCATTCATAATTTAAGAGCTACGCTCTTGTCGGTGGAGCTCTTGCCGTTATAGGGTGAAAATTAGGTAGCAAAATTACAGGATGTAAGACATGTTACTTGGTCCTCTGGAATGACAAAATTCTTTATTCAAATAAATTTAGATTTAGGTTCTTTTGAATAGTCTAAATATTTTTTTAAACTGCCACTTAGTCGGAGAGCTATCTCATCACAAGAAGAATGAGCAAGAAACTTGCGTGTTGCTCTTCTAAATTGTTGTAACTTTACATTTTTAATTTAAAACATGTGAATACTAATTATCAAATAGCACTAATTCATTAGAGTCACAATGTTATCTATATAATCGACTGGTTACTCAAGTAACTAAATAAGAGTAAATTAGAGTATTAGAAGTAGACCACTCAGACATTAGAAGAATTCACTGCTCCTGAATAACGTTAAGATTAATTAAGTGGTGATAACATTCCTCCTACATGTACTTGTATATAAATAGATAAGAGACCACTAAATAGATAATATATATAGGTATAGCAAGCTCAGTTTCAATCCCTAAGTGTTATCTAAGATTACTTAAGAGATTAGATCCAACTTAGACAATATACACGAAACACTAATATTGTAATAGGTCAGACAAGACGATTAAATTAATTCTCTAACACGGTGTAGGTTGTTTAGGAATGTTCTCATCCAAAATAATTCAAAGTTATGAGAAACTATTTTTGCTATAAGTTTTGAAAAATATTTTAGTAACAATATATAGTTTCAATAAGATGGTATTGGTGGTCTAGCGGTTTAGCTCGCTGCTTTATTGTTGGTCGCAAGTTCGATTCCTCACATGGTGCAAACATTACATTTGTGGACAACCGTAACAAAGTTTAGAACAATATTGGATTTTCTAAAATATGCTTAAGTGCAGCTGGCTTACCTGTTATACTTATTAACGGGTGCTGTTTTTAGGGACTGCTCTGCTCTGATAACTATGCAGTCATAGTTATCAGAGCAGACCAGTCCCTACTATTGAGAGCTAATATATTTATTTACTTTTTCATGCTTGCTATACAGTAATTGCTTTTAAAATTGAGTATATATTTTTAATATAGATATACGAACAATTTTATAGTTAGCTCGTGACCAAGACTAGTGCAACTTAGTCGAAACGTCTAGAGAGGTAAATATTTTTATTTACTATTTGGTAGTTTGTATCCAAACAAAAACCCAAATATGTAATGCTGAACAACATTTATTTAAAACACACACACATTTCTTGCTCGTTATACTTGTAATGAGACTCCGAATGAGTGGTAGAATAAAAAAAAGCTATGTGACTATTCAAAAATGCTTATATAAAGTTTACTTAAATAAAAATTATTTCTATAAATATATGAATATGTATACAGATCTCATCGATAAGTTGAAAACGATGTTAACAATATTTTATTAACTGTCTTATATAGAAGAGTGAATAAAAAAGTAGGACCCTTTTCCAAGTCCGGATGCGTATCAAGTTGTGATATTGCAAGAGTCTGTCCTGTCGTATTTATTGATGTAATAAATAGAAAAGGGTCCTGAATAAAATAACAGCCGACCGTGATAATACTGAAAACTTTTATTTAGATATCAAGCATTTCTTATGGGCGTAATTAAATTAACACAGCATTTATTCACACCTATTTGAAACATTCATAATTTTTTTTTTTTACTACCATTGTTCTATTTATTTCTTTGTACAAACATTTGTATTCATGAGCTTGATTGTTTGTATCGGTGGGTATTTTCTATGTATGTTATATATGTATTTGGATAGATTTATATTGGATCTATATACCGAACTGGACGGTAGGGAAAAAAATTCTAATGTAAAAACTTGACGTTCATAAGCGGCTAAAATGTCCTACATGAATAAATGATTTTTGAATTTGAATTTGAATTGAATTTATAAAATAGTCAGTTGTCTAGTACCCAAAAATAGTCTCTGCTTAGCTTGGGACTAGATGGCTCTGAATATTCCAGGGATATTATTATTTAGGTAATAATACTCATACCTTAAACGACCAAGAACTGGCATCTAATATAGAGGCACGGTCTAGCTCAGATGCTACTTGCACTAATATTGTTAAATTAATTCTTAAAAATAATAATTTATCTAACATCAAACCTACGCTATAGTTTTGTGAACATAATATGCTATCTTGTTTCTTCGCTTTATATACGATTACTAGCTACTCGCCCCGTCTTCGCACGTTTGTACATGTATTATTGTTAGGGAAACTAATCTGCTACCAAAATGTTAGGGAATTTACTCTCTGTATATATATAGTGAAAAATGAGTGGAAGCGTCAGTCACGTACCTGTATGGTTCTGCGGATTTCTTGGGCTTCAGGGTCTCGAAGATATCTTCGCTAGCTTTCCAGTTTCACAGTAGGTTTCACAGTTCTAATTTATTTTAATTCACAACACAATGCGCGCGCGTCATGGCCGCCGTACAGTCGGTTCAGTACTGGGTAAGGGAGGGGAGGCAAAGGCGCGGGAACAGAAAACTAACGGACTCTAATATAATAATCTGTGCTTACGATGTTACAGGGTAGATTTTGAACAATTATATATAAAAGCCTTCCTTTTGAATCACTCTATCTATTATAAAAAAGGCTTCAAAATCCGTTGCGTAGTTTTAAAGGTTTAAGCATACATAGGGACGGACAGACAGAGCCAGCGACTTTGTTTTATACTATGTAATAATGGTTAATATACTTATCCCCTATAAAACGAATTTAGAGCTTCGAGCAATTCCCGGGACTTAAGATTCCGTCAACACCATTTCACCGCTTGTATTTCTCACACTGTCCAGCAAAATCGACTAGGACCTCTCTAGTGTAGCTTTAGATACGCTTTCTAGTATAGAACTTACAACATTAGTAAAAGTCACGGTATCTTACCACGTTTTATATTTATTTGCTGAGTTCCCGATATTTCGGTAGTGTTTCAATGGTTATGGTGGTTGAAACACTACCGAAATATCGTGAACTCAGCAAATAAATATAAAACGTGGTAAGATCCCGTAATTTTTACTAATAATACGTATAAATAATGACCGCGTCAAGTTTAAAACAGTAAAGAACTTACAACAGTTCTAGATAAGCCAAGATCTTGTGCCTACACTTGTAATATATCTGTCCACACTCGACACCCTAATAGGTCAGTCCACGTCTCGACTTTGTGCCGAATGTACGCGTTACTAATAAGCCATGTAGCATATTTTCAAATAGACTTACTCATCATCATCATCTGCTTCATCCTTATCCCATTTATTTGGGGTCGGCGTAATATGTTTTTCGTTTCCATTCATCCCTGTTCGCAGTAATCGCGTTATTTACTTCCTTTCTTACCATATCATCTTTCACACAGTCCATCCATCTCTTTTTTGGCCTTCCTCTGCCCTTATAACCATCCACATTCATATGTAACATCTTATCAAATAGACTTACTAATGTACAATAAATACACTAAATACAATAAATACAACATACTTGCAATTCCCCTGGTGTTGCGGGTGCTCATGGGCGGCGGTAATCACTTACCATCAGGTGAGCCGCAAGCTCGTTTTTCCCCTGTGTTATAAAAAAAAAAGTACAATTATTACACCTGTATACTCACTACGTAGGTAATATAAACAATATATTATGTAGCGACACCTCATCACATCATATATAACGTACAGTATACAGTGGTGAGGTGATAGAACCGCGCTACAATGTATTAGAACTGAGAGAATTCGTTAGTATTATTATGCCTCTAATTCCCACTTCGACCGTATATAAATTAACCACATATTTACTTTTCGTTAATTCGTTTCTTTACATAGTATAAAACAAAGGCGCTGCCGCTGTCTGTACGCTTATATCTTTTAAATTACGCAACAGATTTTAATGCAGTTTTCAGCAATAGATAGAGTGATTCAAGCGGAAGGTATATATGTATAATACATGCGGGTTATAGTATAGAATAAGCTGAGGATTTTAAAGATTTGTAATAAAGCCGGAACGGTCGGTATAATCAATCCGCAAGAGTGCTACTTGTAGAAATATATATGTACTATACCGTGTTAATATATCTAGTGCTTTTATTATGTTTCCAGATGAACAAATCCAATGGAACTCAGGTATACCTCCGGCGTCTGGACCTCAGCCTGGCCGGGAATTTCAGCTGTGAGGTGACTGCCGACTCTTCATTTGCCACTCAGATAGCTACCAAGTTCGTTGATATCATAGGTAAATCTATATTAATATATAAACATAATTCATATATTAACTACCCAGTGGTATAGCGGTTTAGCACACTGATTTACTTCTGGTGATCGCGGGTTCGATTTCTCGCACGGTTCAAACATTTGTAATAATGATTATGATTGCCTGTATCGGTCTGGGTGTATTTACAAAAAAAATGTATCTACATATCTATATCAATTGTATAGTACGTATAACATAAACTCTGCTTAGGTTGGGACTAGATGACGCCGTGTGAGTAATATAACTCACACGGCGAGAGAATTTATTAAAAAACATAATATCTTGTATTGATTCTGAAATACTCTTCATTCTGTAAATAAACAAACCGAACCGAGGTGGACCGACGATCTGGTCAAGATCGTTGGAAGGTCAGCGCAGGACCGAACGTTGTGGAGATCTTTAGGGAAACCTTTGTTCAGGAGTAGAAGTCTTCCTAACTGAAATGATGATGATGAATATTGAAATAAACAAAGGAGTGCTTATACTAACGAGCTTGAAAAATAGTGAACACAAAATTAAAAAAAGCTCTTTTCACATTTTTCAAATTCCATGCGGTCGAACTTGAGGGCAACAGCTGTCAGTGAAAAAATGTGTTTAAGAGCCTCTCGAACATTTATTAATAGGGCAAGGTTATTTTAAGGTTGTTAAGATATCTTTATACCTAAACTGTGTTTATTGCGTTAGAATTTAACAATGAAGACTAATAACTGAATCGAATATTACTTGTCTCAAGTATAAATACTTAGAAATACTACTTAAAGATTTAGTAAATAAGTAAAGAATTTTTCAATCATATTAAGAATTTTAAATTATATCTGCTAATTAATCCGTTGCCAAGAGTATTTTTGGAAAACATTCCCTTTTTTTTTCCACCAAGACCGTCATATTGTAGACTTAAAGATAATCATTTGCTGTACCAACAGTACTGATAAAGACTGGAATTGCGAGTATATTTCTAAACACAGTGAACATTGAATCGAATATTACTTATTTCAAGTATAAATACTTAGAAATACTACTTAAATATTTAGAATCTAAGTAATACATTTTTCGTTCAAGTAAGTGGAAATTATTTTAAGAATTTTAAATTATATCTGCTAATTAATCTGTTGCTAAGAGTTTTTTTTTAGAAAACTTTCCCTCTTTTTCCACCAGGACCGTTGTTGCTGGCAGCTTGTCTGCCATTCTTTTTATAAACTTTGTATTTTTGATAGCTGTTTTTTATATGTCACTTTTAACTAGTTGTTACTTCTTTCGCTGTGAGCCCTTTTAAGGAAATATAAAATTATTAATGATTATTAATAAAAGAGTAGTTGTTTCCTGTTGTGCTCCAGTCACTGCTGTCGTATATTGTTGACTGAAAGAGAATCATTAGCTATACCAATAATATTGATAAAAACTCTGGAAAAGCAAGTATATTTCGAAACACAGTCTTGTTGTCAACAAATAGAGTCGTGCGTTTGTAGGAATATTCGTTTATGGTTGTTTGCTCTTAAAATTATAGATTTTTATTCCACTTCGTTGGTTGTTTTTATTTGATATGAAAGAATTTTTCTTTTACATTTCATGAGAGATTTTTGCTATTTTAAGAAATGTTGTTTGTTTGTTTGAAAAGCGTATTTAGTAAGCGTTATTGTATAGCAAAGAAACAAATGTAAATACAATACACAAAGATATTGAACAGTGTTTATTCATAGCAGTAATTTGTTCCAAAGGATCGAATAAATTGTTGCCTAAATATAATATTAGGTTTAATATTTTAAATAAAACAACTCCGCTTTTGTATCGAGAGGTGGTAGTTACAGTTTTTTGTGTAATTGTTATAAAAACAACATGACGGCTTGACAAATAAACGGTATACGCTGACGGGGTACCAGTGGAGGATGATAACATGAGCATGTGGTCAAGTCAGTTAGCCCATCGTGACAAATTCACCAAGACTTATGATTTTAATAATTTATCACGATAGTTTCCAGTGGGAACTGCGTGGAGGTCAACCTGACATGGTCATTGCTAGCAATAAGATCATCAATTCACATTACCAACAATCCCCTTTGCCTCCAATTTATGTCAGTTGTCTAGTACTCATAATACAAGCTCTGCTTACGATGGGACTAGATGACGTATGAATTGTTAAAAAAAAGTCTAGTATAAGACTGAATTTATGATTCAACTTCAACAACTTATTCTGTAAAAATGTCATCATAATTCCTCTAGCAGATTTTACGTCCTTTGTGTATCACAAACACAAAGGGACAAAGAAAGGCGAAAACTATAAATTAGTCAATAGATAGATTACGTTTCGTCATGATTTTATTATATGTAAATATATGTATATGTTTATGTTTAATATATTATTCGGGGAGGTTAGCGTTTTCATATAAACAAATACTTTAGTTTTATATGTGTCCTATAATATCGTTTCCTGCTAATCCATTAAATTTTTCCATCTGTGTCTAACTAAACGAAATAATTGGTCTTGTTTTGGGCGACCCAATGTTTGAAGAGGGTTGATTTATGGAACAAAATGAGGGCGTAAGTGTTCCTTTTTCAAATTCTGTTACAGAATCCAGTTGTATCCAGTTATTCATTCATCCTAGAGTGTACTGTTGATGGAAGTTTTAATTAACTGAGCTTGCTTAGTGGCTCTCGTGTGGGGCTGAATTTGTAGTTTATATACATTATCAGGTTAACTAGCTCTGTTCAACCTGTTTTAGTTTCTTCATATTTTCATTTTTAAATCCATAGTTATATAATAAATTGGAAAGTGAGTTCGTTTTTCTGTCTGTCTATAAGCTTTCTTGCTGAATGAATCTTAATGAAGTTTCATATGAATTTTGATTGCATCTCGAAGATATAATCTGTGGTTTTATAATAAAATCGAGGCTAGTTAATTTTTAGTATTAGTTGACTATATGTTAGTTTTATTAGGTTTTAAATATTGATACTCGTTAAGAATTATAAATAATTCACTTAACATGTAAAACAGAAATATTAACTAATTAAACATTAGTGAAAACATAACGTATGTGATACAGACGGCGAAGTAGGAAGCTATGTACTTAAAATAACATAAATAAAAAAGGACATTTTTTTTCATTCGTCTTTTTAGTTAGTTTTATAGGATTGGTGATTCGGGAGCTGAAAGGGTACAAAAATCAAAATATTGTAGGGTTTTAAAGATAACAGAATGAAATTTCAATTAATTAATTAATTATAATGATAGAATTAAAGCATTAATTAATTTCATCAACTTTTTATGTTTATATAAAAATTTTGGATATTTCAACACTAATGTTATCCACTCACTACTAGCTGTGCCATGCTGATAGGTTGATTGGTAGAGATCTCTTTTAGAGATAAGTCTATATTTGCTCACATTGTATATAAATAAGAATAATAATGAATGAAAGTAAGAGAGATGTTTGTAAAGTCGTTTATTGTAGCAGAGCGCAGTGATAGAAGTGTATAAAACCAAATGTATATCAAGAACATCATATTTTGAATATGGATAAAAGAAAATACAAAAACTGCCAGTGATTCTTTGTAGGTCTAACAATAAGTTTACTACTGTATTAAACATGCTTGCCAACAAACTGTACTGCAGTTTGGCGAGTCATTATATAAAAATAAATGTATCTATCTTTATTAAAGAAATATAAAAAAGTGCAATAAAGAATATATTAAACCGAAGATCAATTTGTTTACTTGAAAATTGCGGTAATATGGTGAATGAACTAATGAACTAAACGATTTCCCTGTGACCTGAAACCCACTACACTAAATTGAAGGACAACCAAACGTGACGTTGTTTTGCGAAATCTCTCGATTTGTATTCAGCGTCGTGCTTCCAACATTGAAATCAATTCGGGTTCCATACAAACATGCTATTTTCGAGTGGCAGCGTTAATCTCATTAGCGCCAGCTATTGTAACTATGAGATTGCTGAATTGTAACAGCTAAAACGTTTGATGCGAATAAATTTATGGAGTTACAACACTCTTATTGGATTTATGTAACAGACGCGAACGTTGTATCTTAGTTATTATTTTAACTCCACTGGTTTATGTTCCATCAATTGGAATCGGTAGGGAAAAAAAAATAAAATTAGAATGTAAAAATTTGACGTTCATAACTAAAAAATATAAAAGTTTTGAATTTGAATTTGAATCTGTATGAAACAAAAAATATAAAAAATTTTGACAGACTTTCCAGAAACGCTTAAAATATAGGCGTTTCACTGAAGTCAGAAATCAGATCAGAAATGTATATAATCAGTCAAAATATATAGATTCTTATGATATGACAACTATACTGTCAGTTCAGATTTCGAGCTGAAAAGAGCTGTCAAGAAACTCACCTCATATTCTTTTCAAATTGAGTGTTCATTAGAACATGCTATTGTAATTTTCTCGAAAAGAAATAGTCTAATCAGTGTCCGTAACCCGAACAGTCCTGTTCACGAGTATGACGGATAATCTTATAAGGTTGTTAGAGAATTCATAATAAAAATTCAATTAATTGACCCAATGATCAATTGTTTTTACAACACTCTTTTTGGATTTATGTAACAGACGCGAACGTCGTATCTATTATTTTAGGACCTCTGTGGTATAGCGATTTAGCACACTGCTTTTCTTCCGATGGTCGCGGGTTCAATTCCTCGCACGGAAACATTTGAATTAATAACATACCTAAACAATATTATGAATTCAAATGTTCTGGATGAATTCACCCTGAAAACATCCTGATATTATCAATATTCGATAACATCTGGGTGTTTTCTGTGCATGATATGTATTATTTACAAAAATAAACTAAAGATTTATATCAGTGGTCTAGTACCATAACTCTTCTTAGTCTAGATGGCTTTCTGTGACTTGTTTAGGGATATTATTAGACGCCTTTTTAAATAGATTCAAGATTTTTTCCATTTGAATGATTCGGGGATTGGCGAGTATAGGAGAGATGTTAAGATACATCAGCTACTTTCATCATGTACTCGCCACCACAAATAAATCATCCATCACAATCATGTGAATGAACATTTATTTCCAATAGATTGAATTTCTAATCAGATTATTGCAAGGAACGTTTTTAAAATGGCGGAAAGCTTATCGCTGAAATCTTCTAAATACGAATGGCTAAAGTTAAGAATGAAAGGCTTAACAGAGTCCAATTCTCCGAAAGGTATTAGATTGGCCTGACTTCATTACGACACAATAAGATAAGATAACGGCCAATGATTATTGAAGCGATAGAAGTAATAAACAGACATTATAATGGATAGAACACAATTGAAATTTACATTTTTATCTATTCTTTATTGCATTTTCAAATACATAATCTGAAGATGTTAATTAGATACAATATTAACAAAGTTATTTTTCTAATAGCAAAATTTTGCTACTTTGTTGTGTAATGTAACAAAATTTCATTTCTATTATAAAAACATTGTTACTTTAATGTGCAATATTATCTTTTTTTAATTAATATAATTAAAGTAGAGTTTTTTTCGAACTATTTTAAGGCTCTTAACGATAGTTGGCCTTTACAGTTTCATCAAACGCGAGTACGTTTGCACTCAAAAACCGAGGAAGAACTTATGCGCTTGAAGGCCAACTCCCGCCTGACGGATACGACTTTAGTTTGAGGGCTAAGGGTTCGATCCCCATTTAAATTAGACGGGGCATGGATCAGAGGGGCAAATGAAAGTATTGTGGCTTAGTGGTTTAGCACGATTTATAGAAAGATCCTGAGATCGAATATGGACGCTACCAAAAATTTTTATGTCCAATAAACTCACTGCTTATGGAAAACTAAATTAATCCAGAATGCTGTGGACTTGCTCCTAGCCATGTTTTTTTAATATTTAGTGTCAAAAGATGGATGGGTGGTATAAATAGTTATCACATATAGTTTAATTATTCTCAGGAATAACGATGCTCAAAGATTACATTCCTGAGAACAATGATTTGAATAATAATATGATGACAATTTTTGAGCCCCGACTCGGAACTCCGTGGGGGTCACAAATTAATTTTATAATAAATTTGTGATATTAATAGTCAGTCTATTTTGTAACTTTTTGCAGAATAAATAATAACTTATTTGGCAAAAAAGTTACAAAATAGACTTACTTAAGTTTTTAAAGTATTCTTGGTGCTGTTCTTCTCTATAGGCGACAGTTTTCAGATTGTATCAGGTAGTCAGTCAGGTTTTATGCCACTCCAATAACATACACTTCGTTGGCAATTGACTCTAAATATCCCACTTGCGATTATAAGCGTGGTATGTTGTAATTAAATTGTAAACAAAAAAATTCCAGCTCCACCAACATTGGGTCCAGTTTTAAAAGCTGATAAGGATCGTTACCAGCCAGGAGAGGTCCTGAGAGCCAACTGCACGTCATCTCCGGGAAAACCAGCTACAAATCTTACCATTTACATTAATGAAGAACCTGTGAGTATTTAATGATTTAACTAGATAATATATATATATATATATTGACGGCCTCGGTAGTCTACTGGTTTAGCACACCGATTTACTTCAAATGTATATGTATTCATAAGTATGACTGTTTATATCAGGATCTGGGTATTTTCTACATATATTATGTATGTATTTACAATAAATATATATGTATGTATTTATATTACTTGTCTATATACCCATAACTCAAGCTCTGCTTAGCTTAGGGCTAGATGTGTGAATTATTATTATTATTACTTGAACTTTAAGTATAATTGTTTGTATTAGCCTACAAGGTTTTATGTATATATGGTATATAAGTAATGTTCTTAAATATTCTAATAGTTAATTACCCTATTAATCTATAGTTACATAAAAAACCCGTAGATGAAACTCTGCTTAGTTTGAGAAAATTGTCTCGGGTTATTAATATCATGTGGGAAAATATAATAATAATAAGAGTTATAATCATAATATATTACGGTTAAACATGCAATTATGTGAACATTTCAGCTCCGTTCGTCAGAGACTAGTCTGCATCCAACTGAGAGTGGGTTAGTGTGGACAAGCGTCCAAGTCAACCTGAAGGTGACTCCAGAACTGTTCCACGCGGGAAGACTAAGGGTCGGCTGTGTTGCCACCGTCTACGATGTATATAAGAAGTCAGCAAACTTAGACTTCTTCACGCCTGAGACTGATCCTGTACCTGAAAGAAGTGAGATAATTTTTATATCAATAACTATTATTACTAGTGGTCACGTAGTGGTCACAATTAGATTGTAATTAATTTAAATTATAAGTTTTAAGATTATTAAGGTTTTATTGCAAAGAATTGCTTCATGTAGACGTTTACTTTGATGTAAAGAAACAAATCTCGATTCGCTGATTTGACACCCATTCGCCGATCGACCCCCATTTTAGACCCCCGTTTCAAATTCAAACGAAGATCAAAATTAAGACAGCCTGAGCCGAGGTTCGAACCTCTAGTGGTGGCCTTAGACTAAAGTCGTATCCGTCAGGCGGGTGCTGGCTCTCAGCCGCTCCATAAGTCCTTCCGCGGGTTTGGAGTGCCATCTGCACTCGCCTCCTATCAACCGGTGAAGCAGTAAAGGGCAGTTGCAATGCGATAAAAAAAAATCTTTCAACATATATTATTATAGTTCCTGTTTAGAGTTATTCATCATATAAATAGTATATGTATATGTAGCTCTCAGATAAGCATAATCTTCAGAATTTGGAAACTACAGTGAATTCAGTTTAGCTAAAACATACGTACAAATTTTTTGTTATATTACGATGGTAGCAAACAAACTTACGGCCCATCTGATGGTTACCGTAGCCTATAGGTGCCTGACACACCAGGGGTGTCACGTGCGCATTGCCGACCCTTAAGGTACCTTAATATATCCTTCATGAAAAACCCCATGTTGTAGTCTCTCGAGAAAACCTCTGCGGGTAGTTGATTCCACAGTTTAAGTGTACGTGGGAGCTCCTCTGAAACCGCACTTTTCTCAAATCAAAGGTACCTAAAAAAACAAAGGCTTTACTCATTTAATTAGCGAGCGAATATATCAATGTGTGTTAGAAAAAACCGAAATGTTACGAGACTATAATTAGGGGCATGTTTCATTATGTTTTTCCTCTATCTAACATTTTTCTAATTAGTAGGTAGCTACTAATAGTAATAGATGACTATTCACGAGTGAATTAGATCATGGATCTTATTACAAGTCTTGAATGTGTCAAAGAAATATAATGAAACTAATATAGATTAGATATATATTATACTAGCTCTACCCGCAGGTTCGTCTGCGTGTTATACCTTGACCAAATATAGAGAAAATATTCAATAATCTAATACAGAAAATCCCTTAAAAATTTTACTTTTGTAACTTGTATGTGTATTGCTCTTTATCAATCACAAATATTATACATATATATAGGCTTAAATTGATTTCCCAAATTTTATTTTACAGTCACTCTCAACGGCAGCCCATCAAGTAGCAGAACTTTCAACAGCTGGATATTCATATTTCTCTTATTCTTCTTGCCCACGCTAATCTCCGGGCAAGTTTACGAAACCTTCGACAATATGCTCGGAGATTATTATGAATATGACGAAAGACGTGAGAATATCGCCTTGTCACTGGTTGGAGGCTGAAGACCTTACTCTTAGTTTATGATATCAGATACGAATTTAGTGATTTCAATGTTTCGAATGCAACTTTTATAAATCATCTGCACATTGATTTGTTATTAAAATATAAATAAAGTCGATTGTACACTTGGTTCAATTTAAATTTGACTTACGATAAATTTGTATGTAAAAAAGACGATAAACTTAAAAATTTTGTAAATTTATCGTAAATTACAATTAAGTATCTAATGTAACTTACCTACACTTACGTTTACAATAAATATTTATGTATAAAATATGATAACTTAGTTAATTGCAATGTTTGTATTTGTAAAGGAAGTCAGTTTGAAATTACAGAATCTGATATAAATTATACTTACGCTTACGATAAATTTGTATATAAATTATATATGTTAATACTATAACTTAATCATAAGTTAGTTGAATATTTATATATTTGTAAATTTATCGTAAGTTGAGTAAGATGTATTAGTTTAATGGCGGCATTATTCTTTCATTCATTCATTCATAATTTAAGAGCTGTGCTCTTGTCGGTGGAGCTCCCGCCACCTTCCACGATCTTCTATCATTCCCTTTAGCTGTTGATACGACACGACTCCAACTTTTTCTCTTTCCATCTATTTTTCCTTTTATAATATTGTTAAATAATAATTCTTATAAAACTTTTTTTTTTTTAAAAACTTATTTAATACACACCAAAGTATGATTATATTTTATAAAGATTATAAAGATAGAGTTAAACTAACATTATTTTGAATTACGATAAATATAATTTATATAATTTGAATCTTAAATAACAAGTCATGTAATCTAATAAATACCAGAACCGTGACCTAAGAAATATTTGTATTTATAATACTCCTTTTGCTTTCTTTATTTTGGCAAATCACAGTCGTTATATAAATATACAAATAAACATATTTTTACAATAGACATTGCGTGTTGAATATTTGAGCCTACTGGACTAAAATAAAATTTTAGTTTAAGAAACTTGTAAAATTTGCAAAATGAATGTATTAATGAAGAAATTTATAATAAAAAAATAATAATAAAGACTAATACAATACACATATAAAAAAAAAGGTTAACTTCTGTTATCAAAATCACATGAATTAGAAACTGTTCTAAACTAAGTTTGTTTTATATTTATTGAATTTAATAATGTATGTAATAGACGTACATTTAAGTGTATATGACAGTTATTCGAGTTCCTTAAAGATATATAATTTGTATATATATAATTATAATTACGGAACATCAAAACCCATATTTAAATATGTGTACTAGAAAGCTGATTATCTCTCATACTTAAATATACATTATTTGTATGTATGTATATATACTATATAATTTTGTTATATACAATTCAATAGAAAAACATATACTCATAAATATATTTACGACTAGCTGCACTCGAGAATTAGTCCGCGTGGAATTTAACTTTATTTTTCTAAGATAAAAGATTTTTTCTGAAATAAAAGTAGCCCAAGTTACTCCTTATTACATCTGCTACCTGCCAAAAAAAGTATCGTCAAAATCGGTCTAACCATTTCAGCGATTAACCGGAACAAAGAGACAGACAGCTACCTACCACATAAAGTCTCATCAAAATCGGTCAAGCCATTTCAGAGATTACCCGGAATAAACAGCCAGACAGACAAAAATTGTAAAAAATGTTATTTTGGTGTATGTACCGTATTTCTATTCATGTGTATGTAGTAAAAAACGGTTATTTCAATATTACAAACAGACACTCCAATTTTATTTATATGTATAGATAGTACTAGTATATCTGTGCGGAGAGAAAAGTAGGCAGCTATGTAATTCAAACGTGTCTTGTATGGTCTGTCATTGACCTTAGGTTCAATACTGTTTATGTATTCATTTGCTTTATTAATGTTATGTATTGAGGTCCTGAATACAAAACAAATGTAAGTATAAATTAGTAGACAACTATAAATACTGTAATATTATCAGATTTTTTACAAACATTCAAAACTATGATACTTTAGTTGGCTGTATATAAAGTATATATATTTCAGTACTTACACAACACCCTTTAGTGCCAAGATAAACAGAGCTAGTGGTATGGTTACTAGACAACTGATATAAATACATACACACATTGTAATTAGTAAATACATACATACAATTCACCCACACCGATATAAAGAATCATACTCATGAATACAAATGTTTGTTCCGTGCGAGGAATCGAAACCGCGACCATCGGAACTGAAGCGGTATGCTAAACCACTAAAAGAGATAAAAGAGATAAAAAATGATAAAATATTTATAAGAAATCTCAAGACATTGTTGATTAAAAAATGTTATTATACAATTTTAGAATATAAAAATGACATATTGAATTAAATATTATACAATTTTAGTAATTAAAGATATACAATTTCAAATTATTAATTATTATTACTATTTTTTTTATTATTATTATATATCATATAAAAAATAACTCGTCCTCCTCTCTTCTCTTCCGCTTGCTGTGCCCAACAGGGTCCATAATTAACCTACTTTGAAATGTACCTGTCTATCTATTTACTTTAAAATTATGGAATGCAAAGCTTAAATAAATAAATAAATAAATAAAACAATGAGGCTGTCAAATTTATACCACTATGGTGGTAATCAAGCGTGTATTGCAAACTATAGCTTAAGAATATCCTTGAATTTTATTCCATACCTGTAAATCTAGCTGCGACATTAGAGTAGTCCGAAGAAAAAATATTTCCTGACAGGCCTAAGTAGAATAGAATAGAATAACATTTATTACGTCACACATCACAACTCAATAAAAACGATGATAGCTGCATATAAATTATTATATATGATAAACGTAAATAAAAAACAATGCATTATATTAGAGATGAAATCATTATGTACAGAATTGACTGCATTTATTATAGGTAAAATTCCATAATCATATGTAATATATAAGTTTGTGTAAATAATGACTTGTTTACATTATTTGTACGAAATCCTGAGCTTGCATATATACATTATTTTTTCTGGAATAAAATATAACAATTTATATAAACAAAGAATTGATACTAATTTTTCAAACGCGTATCAGTATAAAATATTAAGAATCTGACTTTTAATTTACTTTCGACCGAGGCAGTCTTTGTAAAAAGTCTTTTACCTCAGACTCACTATTTCAGCTGTCAAGCAGCTTACTTTGTGAGCTGCATCTGTTATGGGGATTAGGCAGTCAAATTATCTTACTCTAGAATGGCTAAGCATGATTTGTACCATGGATATCCCATGACGACGCGATACCTTAGCGCTCTTTTAATTGGTGATATCTATTAGTTCGTAAAATGTGTTTGTATACATACATGCGACTGTTATCATCTACCGTCAGATTGTCATTTATGTTAGATACCTATATAAAAATCTTGATATGAACGAAGCCTGTGAAAACACTATCCGAACGTATTTTAGTTTTACATATCCGAGTTCTATAATTATATATTTAGAAATTCAGCTTTCATTTATAATTATTGTAAATATTGTATAAGAAAAAGTTGCAATCGAAATGTATATAGTAAATAAGATTAAATCAAGACTTCACAGTGCACATACATTTGTTAAATTATCATATACGTTTTCTGCAATTCTTGAATAGTATACACACCTTAAGATTGTGTACAATATACAACATACAATATACAATGTACAACGGTGTAAAATCGGTGGACATATTACTGTGGAATTTGTCCTAGCTTCACATAACATGAAATCTCCTAATAATATGATGATAATTGCCCCTATCTACATAAGAAGCAATTTTTTTTTACTATTCTAATGCTGTTAGCCTCAGCTGACCTTTACAGCTTCAGCTTGAACGATAGGGTGCGAGTGCAGATGACACTCCAAACCCGTGGAAAGACTTATGGAGCGGCTGAAGGCCAATTCCCGCCTGACGGATACGACTAACAAGCGATCCAGGGCTCACCCCATCTACACTGTGGATGTTGTTTCTCATTTTAGTATCGTATATAAACAGTTTAGTGTATTAAAAACATTGTAAAAAGGTTTTTATAATTTACAAATTTTGTAACATCTTATCCTAGGATATTTTTAATTTTATAAATCTGTTTGCCATTACAAGTTTGGTAGATTTATTAATAAAATAATATATGAATACAACATAAATTACGGCTATTTTATATCTCATTATTTTTTTAGACAGTGCAAGAATAATAAATCGAATGTATAAATGAATTGGTACTCCCCAGACTGAGGGGTAAACATTGTATAACGGAGGTAAAAATACCAAACATCTTATAAACATATTTTAACCATTGACTTCTTTGTCCTGTTTTTAAGAACTATATTATCTTTGTTTAAAAAAGCATTAAAGCATGATTATAGTTGAAATGGATGCTACTGGTTTTCACGAATAACTGTTAAGCATTCACGATTATTTGAAATTTCACTTCAAATACTTGGTTACATTTTCTATTGTTTCTGCAATATTGATGTGAATACTTTGACATTCTTGTATTATGTAAATTAATTGTTGTAAAATATTTCACAAATTTACATTATAAGTACCACAATGTTCGTAATTTATAAAATTATGGATAAATTGTTATTATTAAAGACATTATTGTGTAAGATTAAAATAAATATTATAAATACCAATATTTGTAGTTTGAAATTTGAAACTTTGTTTGTAATTAAAAATTATCAAATTTAATGACTATATTATAGTGTAATTCCGTCACAGTGATCATTAGAAGTGCAAACACATGATAATTCATCCCACAGTAGATTTTTTTCATACAAATAAATGGATGGAGCAGACGATATAAATGGGACATCAGTGGAGATGACCTGATTTCATGCTTATCTCTGGAGCATTTCGCTGGCATCATTTCATCCTTCATCAGTGGAGATGACCTGATGACCTGATTTCATGCTCATCGCATCGCAATCAGGTCGATAAGCCAATCGTCGTGAATTCATCAGAATTTAACGGGCTAGTAATGCATCATGCAATCCATTCCTAGTAACCAATGGGACCACTGGTTCCCTTAACCAGTATGGTATTACTGAACCGATATGATATTTGGTTATGCTAAACC